GTTGTTACAGAGTATTATTTTAAAAAACAAATAGAGAAATTTCCACCAGACAGGGGGCACTTCTCACCAGAGCCACCCATGCCTCTGCTTCTGGGATGTGATCCTTGCAGGGAAGAGTTTAATGGAAAATAAGAGCATAGAGCAGCCTGTCATTTGACCAGGCTATAATATGCCCAGAACAGGTGCAGCATAACCACAGAACATAGTCCCTGAAGATCCCAGCCTGGAACATTAATTGCAAGGAAAAAAGTCCATATGGCCATGGCATGAACCAGAGAAATACTGCAGTTCAGTGAATAAACAGGGGAGAACAATGAACTACACATAATCTTTCAGCAGCATAGCTGTACCAACAGTACCAGTTCATGGCCTTCATATTTTAAATGTGAAGGCCATGAACTGGTACTATTATACTTGTCAGGAAGTAAAGCAATATTCTTCAGTGTAAAGGCACTGTATGTAGCTCTCATACTACTCTCTCCTTTCTTTCCTCACATCAGCTAAAAGCAGTTCTGACCACAGCATGGACACACCAAATGCCTATACATTTTCTGCAACATCATTCCATCTTTCATTCCTTGAATTCAAACGCACCAACCTCATCTTTGTTCAAAATGCACTTCCGTTCTGGCTTGAAAATTTCACCTTAGCTTTCAGATAAGGGAAAGACTCTAGGCCTAAAATCAAATGGGCTAGAAAGTTACTGGACTCTTTAGTCAGATGCACTTCAGCAAACAAATTGCTTAAGGCCGTGTGGTGCTGAAATCCCTTGTGCATGAGAAACTACACACATTTTGACTTAAAAAGCACACAAATAGCATTCTTAAAACAAGCTTTTCATCTCCTAAACAAGTAATGTAGAGTCCCCTGGGTAAACACTCAATATTTTCTTTAAAAAAAACCCATAAAAAATGATAAAACAGTCCTACCTTGGTTTAGTAATGAATAACAGTTCTGCACGTTTTGGCAGCACCCTCTAGGCAGTAGATAACTGAAGAACCCTCTGAAGGGTATTATCTGTGTCCAGCATATCCACTCCTACTAACCAGGCACTTTATCTAAGAACTTTTCCCTTTCCCACCCTGCCAGCACTTTAAGACTCTTCAAAATTTTGCATACTTCACAGTTACAAACTGCCTCTCAAGGGAAAGAGACAGTTTTCTATTAAAGGTATGTTTGTTACAAGTTATAGCTATTCCTATACGGAATGCAGAGTATCCTACTGTGGTTCAAAGACTTTTTGGCTAGAAGTCTGGGATGGCTATTTTACCCTCCAAGGCTGAAGCCAATCTCTTATGTGAAGCAACCTCCATCAGTGTTACTGCAGGCTCCATCACATAACACTTCATCATCTCGTCTGCATGGACAGTGTAGCAAACGCTTCAAAAAGCTAATTTTGAATCATTTGAGAGATGGGTTTTTTATCGTTAAATCTGGTTTCTCTCCCTTTGTGAAGGCCAGTCTGTTAAGTTAGCAGGAATCCAATTCTTCCATCTCCTGAGAGTAAATTTATAACTATTATTATTTCCTGATGTCACATAAGATCAGTTTTGCCATTGATATGGTGGAGGTACAATTTTATACAAAGAACTTGCAGGACAAGAGCCCTGTACATTTCATTGGAAGGTTCAGAACCTCCTTCTCAGTGATAAAAGGTTACAAGATACTGGACTTGAAACCTGTCCCTGGTCTAGAACTGGTTCCTGCTGTTCCCCACTCATCAGACCAGTGCAATTAGGAAGAGAGAAACACAAATTTTTGACTGTGTCAATGGCAGCAATTTAGAGCTGCCTTAGCATGATATAGCTAACTGCAAGCAGAAGTAGATTAGTCGTCAAAAGTGCAAGCTAGGGCTGCAAAAATTAAAATGATTCTGCAGGCACAAGAGATGCAACTCTCTCCCACTACATAGCGGGTCTCATTCAGTGCTGTCAAAATGAGGGCATGACTGCATTTTAGCTTCTCTCATTGCTTGAAGTGTCAGACCAGCAGAGACTTCCTATGCCTGAAGAAGGGTGACTGCACCCAAAAGGTTGCTAAGAACTTCTTTCCAACTACTCAGTTGGTTTAATAAAAGGTATCACATCTACCAAAAGAAGCTTGCCTGCACAAGCTACACAGAGGAAGGGTGGTCAAGTGATTACAGCACTAACCTAAGAGCTAGGCTTGGGGGCAAGTCCATGGCTCCATTTCTATGTTGCCTCAGGCAAGTCACTAAGCCTCTCTGCAAAAAGCAATGATAGTACTTCTGTGCCTTGTCAGGGTTAGAGCATAAATACATAAGAGACAGAGGCGCACAGGTACACAACTCATAAACCAAATGTACACAAAAGGCCCATTTTAAATGTTTCCAACTCTGCTGGGTAAATCCAGGTCTTACTGACACATTCAAAGGCATCTCTCAGCAAGGGGCACCATCCTACCAACATTCACTAGAGAGATTCTCCAGTACAAATATTACCAAGTATTGTTTCCCACATTCCTAACTGATAACGAAAAGCTCAGATATTTTTGCAGAAAAATTTCCATGCAATTCCCCTTTACCACATACAATATTTCAGCTCAGGAAGTTACATATCTGGAAAGTTGGGACTGACTGAAAACAAGAAGTAATAATTGGGAAACTATAGCTGTAACACAGCAAATGATGGAAATGAAGTTTCTGGAACACAAATCAGTGAGTACCAAATTAAGCAGCAAACAAGTTTACAACGGGTATCAAGGTCCAGTGAATCATTCTCCTAATTTGGATTAGGAAATCAAAAGGTACCCTAAATCAAACGGTATCCCATATTCCTCTGCTAACTCCTAATCTGTAAACCCACACTGTTGTACCATGTAGTTACAAAGCAGGATACTGCAATACATCATAGCTCCAAGGCAGGATTGGAGAACTACTCAACAAGAACAAATGCCTCTTGTGTTGGGGGAGCAACTGAGAGAAGTAAAAAAAAAAAAAAGACACACCCAGTTATTCCCTTCTGAAAAATATGGGTTATTAAAGATGACACATACTATGGGCAAGCTCAACTGTGCTGGAAAGAAATGCCTAAAGTCTTCATCTTTAACTCTGATCTTCTAAGCAGGAAAGAAATAAATCACAACAAAAAGCTGAGATTTCACTACAATCTCCTCTTTCTACCTTCTTCCTTCATCCTCTTTTAAAAACTTGAGAGTCACTATCACATATGCAGGAATGTTCATTCCCATGGAAGACAGGCCAGGAGAATCCAAGAATTCCAGGAACCAGGTTTTAATACCCAAAAATCTTCCTGATCTCAAACATCCCAATTTCACATGATAGGCAATCTGCCCCTGCTAACCTGATCATTATATTTTGGTTTCCACACAGCATTATGACAGACTCAATTAAGCTATCAGCTAATATGAATGCAGGTGACAAAAATATGCCAATACAGCACTCAGCAGCCACATACAATGGCTTTCATAAGTGCTACGCTAATAAATAGTGCTGAGTAATAGCCCCAAATACTCAAGTCACCTTTTTATATGCCCAATGCAAGTCAGCAGAGGAAACTCCCCCATCTCACCTAACGTCCCAAGAAAGGTCAGCCGAAATGACCATAGCTAAAAGGTGGAAGAGTGCAAGTCCATGGCTAATTTCTTTTCTTTAACCTTACCTTTTCCAACTTCAACATACAACAGCTTACTTAGCCACGTCAGTCTACCTTACTTGTATTACAAAAAACGTCACCAATCGCCCTTCTTTTGGGAGGAAAATGTGAAAAACAACCACCTTCTTTGGAAGGCTACTTGGTAATCTAATTAAAACTCCTTGGTCTCCTCAACACACAATAAGCCAAATCCTAACATAACACAGATGGGAAAGGATCTACTGAGTTATCAATACGACAGACAAACCACATATGCTGATAGGCCTCAACAGAACAGTGGTGTGATCTTTCCTAGAAAACTAACAGCAACAACTCCTAATTAATGTTACTTCCAGAACTGCAAGTGGCAGCAAAAAGTAAGAGAAAGGCTAACCAGAACCTTTCAATTAAAAAAGCAGTTGATTAAATTAGGAATAACTTTGAAGATAGTGTTGCAGGGCACTTGGGTGCCTGCTCCTGAAAGAGCAGAAGCTGCCTGGGGAGAGCCCAAGGAGCCAGACAGGAGCCCAGGATCAGGTTGCCATGGCAGCTAGCTAATGAGGAAATTAGCCTGCACCTGCACCTGGTCAGCTACCTGGAAGGGGCAGGGCCCTGGGCCCATATAAACCCCAGGACAGGGACTAGGGCAGTCAGTTCTCTGCTAGTGGCCAAGGGAGAAGGAGCCCTTCTAGAGCAAGTGAAGGAAGGAAGCCTGACTAAGTTCTGCTCCAGGTAATGTAAACGGGCCAAGCAAACCTTATATAGCTTGTGTTATGTTATAGCCCATGGGCCTATGTTTTGTTTGCTGTTTTATAAGACTGGTGATTTGAGTGAGGCTATTTGGGGAAGGAGGCCTCACTGGGAACCCCAGTGCCAGAGAGGGTGCAGCATTTTGGGGGCACAGACCCCAGCACAGAGATGGGGCTGCAGAGAGCCCAGTGAGGACAAGGGGCCAAATTATAACAAGGCCTAAGCAAGATGATGCCAGTACCATCTGCAAGGCTTGGGGCATGGTAAAGGGGTGGTTGGAGCCACACACAGTCCATAAGGCTAGGGTGTTCCTGAAATGCCCATTGTGAAATGGGACCTACAAGGGGTCTGGGAACCCACGGGGTTCAGAGTCCATCAAACCATGTCCAAGAGGACTTAAAGGCAGCCTCCCTATTTTTATATTTCCAAAAAGTGGTGGGTGAGAACTCAGGGTGCCCATCAGGCCAAACTGACATGGTCAAGGGGCCTTAGGAGAACACAGCTGTCCTTGAGGATCCCATCCTGTGACAGACAGGTATTAGCAATTTAATATATTTTACAACATGTTAAGCAGGCAAGCTGTGCAAGATCATCTCTGCATTTCAGGGTCTGTAATAGGATGAAGCTCATATACCACTAGGAATGGAGGAAAAAGCTGATTAGCTAGGTAAGCTGTCTGTCCTACAGATAGGGAGGGACTTCTTTCCTACAAAGCCTTCTGTAAAACCCTTGGTTCAAAGAAAGGGCTTCAACTTATCACAATGTCAATGTCATGGAAGACAAAAATGAAACAAGTATTGGAAGTTACCAGCGAAAACCCAACAGTCTAGCATAAAGCAACTGCTAATTTCCTGGGATTAGGAAGATGCTTTTCCTATAATGATCTAGTATGGGGGGGGCGGGGGGGGGTTTCCATCTCTTCCTCTGAACCATGTGGCACTGCTCACTCTTAGATGATGCATTAGGACTAGGCAGACTATTTGTCAGGTCTAATGGGGGGATTTCTATGTTCCTAGTAAGGGTACAAAGGTCAGACTTCTTAACATGCCATTTGGAATAGACCTAGAATCTACATCTATGTGAAAAAGAACAAGACTCATTTCCTTCTCTTGCTGCTGTTGCTGAAGACTAAGCACTAGTAAATCCCACAAAGCCCCATGTCTGTCCCCTCTGCCAAATTTGACGCAAGTCCCAAAATCTAAATCTGTTGGCCTAGTGAAGATTTCTCAGCTGGTAAAAGTAAATAAAACCAGAATTTTAATACAACCTTAATGTTTTCAGAACTGACCACAACTGGGGGGGGGGAGGAGGCCAGATGTTCAATACCACACAGCTGTGCTTGGACTGTACTCAATCTTACATAATCTGTGCCAAACTACATCATTAGTCCTGACACTGAGAAGCATGAAAGCTCACCCAGAGAACTCTTCTGGTGCCAGGAGGATGGAATTCCCACATACGCAATCTGCTAACACAGGGCTGTGTCTGACAAGCCATGCATCGCCAGGTTAACCAGTCTGCAGGACTGTGGCCATGGACCCTAATAGAAACAGGTCAACAGCTTCCACTTCTGAACTGCTATCTGTTCTATCCCAGAATATATGGAGGCTACCACAAAGAGACAAAGCCTTGATTGGGGACCTCCAACAGCCAAGCTGGCAACTCTCAGGAGCCCAAGAAGAGAGTGATTCATTTTGGTTTACTACATATACATAAGTCAAAGAAACACTGCCATGTCAAGTGCATACTAGGCAGACACTGATATGAAAAAGCAGGACAAGAAGGGAGATCCCTACAGTGTTCAGAGGACAGGCTTTGTGAGAAACTGTGACAAAGGAGATCCTGGCAAGGATGCAGCTACCTGTTGTAACTTCAGGGCTCTACCTTTTAGACAGCCCCAGATCACTAAGCAGCTCTCTTCAAGAAGGTAGCATCTACCCTTGCCTTAAAAGAGCATGGAGTGCAGATACTGACTTGGATGCTTTTCATGAGTCATCAACTAATAGTCAACTGCTCTGGTATTATTTTAAATAATAAACCTGATTGAACAAAGCTGCTTTGTTCTGAAGAGGGGTTTTCTTAGAGTCCTCCTCCAAGGCCTCCCAGTGTCTAGCTCCTTAGTTCTATATGAAGAAGAGACTCGTCACTTGCTTTAAAGTCCCTAACTTATCTATCTGAACCCGTCCAACTTGCATAACTTGGTCACGGACTCCTTGCATCCTGGATCAGGTGTTCAGAGCCCAGAAGGACTTGTACTATGCGAGGCATATCTAGTGAGGTTCTGAAAGTCCGCCACTTTTTTTCCGGTATTCTGCACATTTGTAAGTCCACTCCACAAAGGTCTCTTGGAATATGGGAAAGGAGGACAATCCCTCAACCTAACTCAGCCTCAGAGGCTCCAGACCACAGCAACAGAGTGTGGGTCTTTGCTGCCCCCTGTCAACATCACAAGTGTGAGCCCTTCCTTAGATGCCTTCTCTCATAGACACCTTGGGAGAGTTAAAAGTATTCTGACTTTCCATTAGTGAATGTTGCAAGCATCCAATTTTGTTATGTGAAAACAAAAATTCAACCACTGAGAGATGGTTGAAGAGTTGTTTCCAAAAGCAGATCAAACAGAAATAGGATTTCAAAGAGAACGGGTTCTATTTGAATTATTCAACTGAAGTCTCAGTGTCATAAATTTGTCTGAAAAAACTGTTCATAATTCATAAGCAACTTTCTTTTCATGTTTGTATACTTTTCAGAAGAGTGTTTTTCGAAGGAGCTCAGATAAGTGGCTACAGTCCTGCTGCCTCCTTAATTGTAGGTATCATCAATGGAACTACAGGAAGCAGATTAGAAGGGTTTTCAAGTCATTTTGTCAAGGGACTAAACCAGTTTCTTTCAGGGTACTAAGATTCATAATCAGATAAATCCATTTAAGAGAAGCAGGAGAGAGAGAAACCTCAAAAAATGAAGAACAATCTGTTGTTTCAAACTAATGAAGAAAAATATATCTTCACAATTTTAAGCTTTTTCCTCCCTTGCTACTAGTTAATGATCCCTCAGAACCTTGACACTTACATTGTGTTCTTTACTGATGGAAAAAACTTTTGTGTAATACATGTGCAGCTCTTAATTTGTTGGGTGAGGGTTGCTCAAAAGTACTGGAACATGCACCAATTCCTAACCTGCGCTTGGCTTGCTCAAAGAAGCTTTAGTGGAGAGTTGCTCACACATGCTAGGTTTGTATAAACCCATTTGTTCCTTCAGACTTGCTCATGAGCAAGAAAATTAGAATTTCCCAAAGCAGTTAATCATTTCAGTGCTGAGAAGACAAGCATACTACATGTCAATTATGCCAAAACCACTATTACAACCCTATCCCACAATGTTGTATAAATGCATAAGCAGGCTGGGGGGGGGGGAACAGAACAGGATGGGACTAGGACTTCCCTTCTTTTTGCACCTCCAGAACAGATAGAGTATGTTCTAAATGCTTCTAGCACTGCCCTGCCTGCTGCAATGTAAACCCTTCCAATCAGCTCCCTTACTTACCAAATCTGGGTGCACAAAAATTACTAGATACTTCTGAAACTTTTGGCCTAAAATTCTTGGTGTGGTATTTGGCACACAGGAACTCGGAGGTCACTCCATATATTGGAAGCTATTGAAAAGATACAGAAGGGTAACATTTCCTGAAGCATCGAAGTGACTTAAGTCAACTAGACAGTTGTGCCCAAGTGACTCAGTCGTTCACTCAAAGTCAAAATTGAGAAGAAATGAAAGGAGCTTATAGGATGGAGACAGAAATTAGAGCAGACATCTAAATGGAAGCAAAGGGCAAATAAGTGTCAAATATTAGGTGGTAAACTGAGCCAACCCAGAGACTGGATTTAAAGCAGAAGTCATAAATATGTCTTAAACTATCACATACTAATACAGAATAGTTTTAAATTATTATTATGAGGGGTAGCAGTTCTTAAATGCTTGCACTGTGTTATTTTTGGTTCCTTTGTACAGCTAGAGAAGCCAATGGATTTTTGCATGCCTAAGCAAAAAAAAGTTAACATTGATTAGACATTAGCAACAGCAACACAGGGAAAGAGCAAGTCACAGACTCTTTAGAGATTAGCATTTCTCTGCTTTGGTAAATTAGATTAATTTGAGTAAGTAGGGCCTGATGAAATTCATCCAATAGTACAAAGAACTGGCAGAAGCACTCTCACAACTGAAAAGAATTACCTTGGAGAACTAGCAAGGGTCTGGTGAGGACCCATAAGAATGGAAAAAGAAAGCCTTTTTTCTTTTTTTTTAGTGTCCTGTTCTGCGCCCCCCCCCCCCCC